GGAGGTGTGAATAGATATTTGTCGATAACACTCAAATGTATCAAAGTAGCTATGATCCAGGTGTTTTCCATGCTGGTGGAAACAAAACAAACGGTAGAGCCTGTTGCTTTCCTCAACCTGAGCACCTGAGCCACCGTGCTTTAGCTCCCCAACAAGAGCTTAAATTTCCCCAAAGCCTTTAAGGGATGAGATGTAAAACTAGTGTGATACTTCCAGCCTAGAATTGCATCAATCACTCACAGAACAGGTTAGGGTCCTCGGCCCCAGTGTGTTCACTGAGCCTGGGTCTGTGGATGGATGATTCGGGGGCAATCAGAAGTGCATGCTGTAACCATTCATTGTTCAGGTTTAAAAAACAAATCGATGCCTTTTTGCACTTATTTCTAAGTAAACACGAGAGGAGTTTCCTCCTGTCAGGGCCGGCTCCAGCTCGCCCGGAAATGCTCGCTCTTCCACCTGTCTCCAAGGCTACTTACTAATTCTAGTGTTTTTCACGTGGAAAAGCATAGTAGGTGCTCAATTTATTTGAATGGGTCTGGCATACTGCTATGTACTCTCACCAGCTTTTAGACATAGTTTGTAATTATTTTAAAAAATAATTTATTATTTGAGGGGAAAATCTGTTTTTTTCCCAAAGTCCTAATTTCTCATATTCTTGGGCTCAGCTTTACCTGGGGTTCACCTTTTTCTTCCCTTCTTGCTGTCAGGCAGGCGTTCACGGCCATGGTCCTGGTCTTTAGTAAGAAGCTAGTCTTGCTGTGGACATCAATACTTTGGGTGGGGTGGGAGGCTGAGGGGAGAGTTCATGTAATTTGGGAGCAGCCCTGTGGGGTGTAAAAGTGAACTATTTTTAGCTGAATTCAAGTGGAGGCAATTCACTTAAAGAATCCAAAGGCTTCAGCAATATCTCAGGTTGACTTTAATGAGTACTTAGACTGAAATAGCTCCGGGCTCCGGGAGGGCGACTAACCTATTGAGGACCTCTCCTGGAAGATAAAAAGACACTTTTATAGCTTGCATCATGTAGCGCCGGCCTCTTTTCATGCCCCTAGCACGGCGCTCAGCATGGCAGCATTTCTGCTCATCTTACTAATTGGTGGCTAAATACAGACAGGGAAAAAAAAAAGGGACATTTATTCCTCCAATTGGTAGAAAAGCCTTCTTAGGGAAGAGCAGAAGACGGCTTACAGGGAAGAGGAGGGAGTCCTTAAGAAAGCCCGTAAGGGATGCCTGTGACTTTTCAAAGCAACTTGGAGCAGGCAATTTCCACTTAATTTCTCTTCAGAGTGGGTGAGAAACATGCTAAAGGGGCTCAAGGGTCTGGAAAGATAAAGGAGCCGGTTTTAATTTGTCTTCCATTTCTGCTCCTCAGGACACCCTGCCGAGGCAGACTACAGCAGGAACATGAAGGTACCCACACACCCAGTGACATTTATCAGAGAATCTTGGGTTGTGATATCTTTGTAGCACAATTCACAGCATTAAGAGAAACACGTAACAGAAAAAGTATTTATCTCACCTCCAAGAAAGGAAAAGACGGGAATAACAGAACTGCGGGCTTTATCCCACATTGCTTTTACTGTATGATCTTTTATTTCCCATTATTTCAAATATCTAGAACATGAACACAAACTCCCTTTAGTCAAAACGAACATAGTGCCTCCGTTCTACTTAGTATTTTCAAATGTGTATGTATTTTTTTAGATAATGTTAATAAAGTGGTATGATTTAGCTTTCTTACAGTCCCTTATACTGTAGTTTCAAAGTCATTTGTAGTTAACGCCATTCCTCACAACACACCTTTATGGGTATCTGGAAGGCGACTTGACAGAACGGGACAGAAATTAAGTGGCAGAGTAAGAGCTGAAAACGGAAGGACAGGGTTCAGGACACGCTGCCCCCAAATCTGGCACTTGCCACTTTAACACCAAGGCACTGGAGAAATGGCAGGTGCCAGGGCTTTCGACACTCCCGACGCAGGTCACAGCACCTCAGGAGCGGGGCCTTCCCAATACCCGGAGGAGAGGAGCGGCCTTAGCCCTGGAGACGAGGGACACTGAGAAATCTGAACAAGCAGACGTTGCTCAGTGTCCCTCCGTTTGCTACACGAGCTTGCCTTTGTCTCATCACATCTTTCCCTGACTTTTCCACTCTCCATTAACGTTCCCATACGAACACTCCGGTTTAACTGTTTCTCTGGGTCTTCATTTCGTCATGTCATGTACCATTTATATTAAATTAACGGGCACGCTTTTCTCTTATTAATCTGTGCCTTGCCAAGGAGTCTCAGCCAAGAACACAGGAGGTAAAGATATTTTCCCCTCCCCTACAGTAGTATTCCAACTTTCCATTTAATACTCCCCAAAACAACTTAATAACACAAATATTTTAATGAGATATATACACAGTTTACAAGATTGGTTAAAAGATGAGATAGAATTATAGTTGAAAGAGATCGCTTAAACCAAATCGTCTAGATCAGGATGATTTCCAAGCATAATATTCCTTACAATATACAGATATACATCTGAAATGTTTCTAAGAACCCAGCTAACTATGACAGAGTAACATATCTTTTTTATTAAGTCTATTTAAAACACAATTTTATCTTTGTAAGATAAACCTCTGGTGATGCAGCTAAGTGTCTAAACTTCTATTAATTATATAAACACTTGAGAGTCATAAAAAAAAAGGATTCCATCCAACATCTGTTTTAGGAAGTTTAACGAAAAAAGCCAAGTGATGTCCCTGGCCTGTGTCAGCACTCGGTAAGTGTCTGATGAAAGAAGCGCATGATCAGACAAGGTAGCAGATAGAAAGTTCCTGCTCTCACACTGTCATTAAAGTTTTCCCAAAACATGTTTTCTTTTTAAGAGATAACCCTCACCAGGGAAAAGCACATTTGGAGTTTTTCAAACTGAAAGGGCCTTGTGTACATGATTTTGTCCAGTGCTTTGATTGTAACAGTCACCTGGGCAGAACCGACCTCCCACTCTGGCACGAGCAGCACTGCGGGGGTCGTTGGTGCCTGCGGGAGCGATGGGCACCTGGAAGGCAGGGTCGGAGTCCCAGGAGAGGGACGCACAGGAGGGAGCACGTGCCCACGTCTCTCATCCCTCCTCCAAGCCCACGGTTTCCTTACTAAGAATGCAAAGTGGATTAGGTGTGTGCATATGAGCTCTTTCGTGGAATCTTCTCACAATATTTTCATGCAGAGGAAAAAACTACCCGTACTTCTCTTTTGTGTGCTTGTTTTGTTTTCCCATAGTATTGTGTAAAGGCTTTGTCAGAAGCACAGCCTTTCACGAGCCACTCAGCCTTCTGGTGAAGAGAAATGCCACGAGGCTGAAGCTACGGGGCTGAGAGTTCACCTGTTTACTTCAAATGTGCAAATGTTCCTTTTGTGAGTAAATATGAAACAAAATACTGAAACAACTGAGTACATGCTCAGCATATAAATCAAACCTAAGGTACAATTTACCAAGACCTGGAATAAACTTGATGTGCAGAAAACTGGAGATGCTAACAAGGTTATCTTTTTTTTTAAATGAAGTAGTAGAAGCACCACATTTTCTAAGGTCATGATCAAATCAGGGTTAAGGCAATCAGTTATAATCTAATCCAGGCAAAATATTTGCTTTTGCCTAAATGACCTATCTCTTTGATTATCACTGAGGATAACTGTTTCAGTTTTCAGGTTGGCTTGGTTTGTGAGTATTGAAGGAGTAACATCAGGCCTAAATGAACCAACTTTACACACGAGCCAAAAGAACATTAATCTCCTCTTACAGGAAGGAACACCCCCATGTAATATGACAATTGAGTAGTAACAACAACAAAAAGTACCCCATCTACTAAGACGTTTTAGTATAAAGACATAATTAAGATAATTTAAGCTCTTAATCCATGCATTGAAATTGTGACTATGGCACAAAATCAGAGGTTCTTGTTGGAAGGCCTCAAAAATTTACGGTCACAGTTGCCAGAGTTGGGAGCAGAGGATCTGCGGCTGTTGCAGAATTTTACAAAGAACCCTTAGCGGCCCTACCTTCCTCTTTTCTAACTCAAAATTGGTGGCTCTTCTTGACCTCCTTTATAGAAAATACTTTTTTACTAGTTATTTTTAATTGAAGTCTTCTGTCTGAGGTTGGAAGAAATGTGATTGTCTCAGAAGATCAGCATTAGGAAGCTTCCAACTGACAGCCGCAAATCAGAAGATCAGCATTAGGAAGCTTCCAACTGACAGCCGCAAACCTCTCCACTCTCCGGGTCCCTGCCAGAGGCAGGGACTCTGGCGTGAACTCCTGAGAACACTGCTGCCCCCTTGTGTCCGAGGCTCTTTCAGCACTGGAGCCTTTCCACCTGGCTGTGAGGCTGAACAGGGCGAAGGGTTTCAAAGACAGTGAGTTAGGTGCCAAAAGGCCATATTCTAGGGGAACGTCTAGCAGCGCCATACTTTTAACCCGTGTTTTTGCGACTCAATGAAAATATTAAATGCTAGTTAACCCAGGTTCTAAATCTTTTAATTCCAGGGCCAGACGGACTGGAAGCAATTACAGCTCGTTCAAGGGGTCTGTGGGAACACTGACAGTTTTAATTTACGTATTAATGCTAGAAAACATTTTCAGAGGCAAAGGAGCATTCTTTGGTCTAATGATGAATAGAGTAAGAGAACAAAATGGCCAGGAAAGTGGCTCAAAAGCTCTAGGCGAAATGGTCTGGGTTTATTTTTTTCTGTAATAATTTCAAACTATCCATTATTCACTGTAATAAGATACCACGGCAACAGTAGGTCTGCAGTCTTCTTTTGCTTCAGATGGCCATTCCCTGGCTGAGTGTCTTCGATAAAGAGCCGGACAATCAAAGTTAACAATCCATCTGTCCAAACTCCAACTCCTTCCTGGGAACAACTCATTCTACTTCTTGGTTTCTTCCTCTACCGCCCACCTAGAATACTTATCCTACCACTCACAGGACAAAACAAAACACTGAAACAGGAATTGTTTTAAATTATTAGATTTCATTAAACAGCTCAGTTGGACACTTGCTCATTGGAATTTACTTTTGCTTCAACTCCAAGTCTTGGGGAAAAAATGCAAGAATTCTTTTCATTAAAATATTAGCTTGACCCAAGGATGTAAAACGTCAGCTGCCTTAGCATTAGTTACTGCAGCCTGGGACCTCCCAAGAGGTCTACAGACTAGAAGATTAAACACAGCAAAATATGAACAGGAAACAGAGTTTGCAGGTCATTTAATAGCTACAGCTGTATAGAATTTTCAAATTATTTTTCTGAATTAAATACCAAACTTATGAAACAACATATATCATATGGCCCTTGAAAGAACTTTTAAATGGTGGAGTAACCACTGCAAAACTTCCTTCTGCTCTAAGGAAGACAGGGGGATGCAGGGCATCCTACGTGGGGTCCTGTTGTCCCCACTGAACAGAAAAGTGAGGCTCCAAAAGATGAAGTGACCTGCCAAAGGTCCCCTTGCCACGACTGGCAGCATCTCGCTAGACACTGCAATCTTGACCTCTTTTAAAGGAAGATTAATTTAAATTGAGTACTAGTCATTACTTACTAAATGAATACGTTAATGACAATGTATTTCATTGATGTTGGTCTTATAGAAAGTTTGAGGGAAACCAAAATTAAGGACTCCGGATTCATCTAGGCCCCTTTCGAAAACAAAATATTCCTAATCTTCCTCATCCTACTCCTGGAGGGAAACAGGGAAGCTCGCTGTGGTTTAAAACAGTAACGACACAGCAAATCCCTCCCTAGGTACACATCCTAAAGAACTGAAAACAGGTATGTAACCAAATACTTACACACAAATGTTTATGGCAACATTATAAACAATAACCAAAAAGTGGAAAAAACCCAAATGTCCATCAAGGGATAAATGGAAAAACACAATACAGTATCCATGCAAGGGAGTATTTTCACCCATTAAAAGGAATGAAGTACTGACACATGCTGTGATATGGACTAGCTCGGGATATACTACACTAATTGGAAGGCAGGCAGAAAGCCACACACCGCAGTTCTATGCACATGAAATGTCCGGCCTGGGCAGGTCCACAGAGAAGGTGCACCCGCGGGGGCTGCGGGGCTGGGAGGGAGCAGGGCGACTGCTTCGAGGGAGGCGACCTTGCCAGCGGGGCTGGTGGTGGGGGGGTGGTGCCAGGCGGTGGCGATGCCCCCACAACACTGAGGGTCACTGCATGCCACTGAATGGCACACCGTAAAGTGGCTCATTGTACATTATGTGGATTTCACCTCAGTTACAGCAAAAATGCAGCCTGATGATTGGCCATAAAGCCCTAGATGAAGAGCAGGTAATTTGCTCTCTCTTGGTTTGTCACGATTTCAGTGAGTTTTTGACCATCATAAACCAATATATTAAAAAACTGCCCATCAGAATTTCCAAATAAGGCATTAATGTAGCTGAGTTCCCCAATTTGTACAGTTGAGAGAGCACCTAGTTGTGTTTACAGTATACATGAAAGTTTAAAAATGTCTTTAATTTGTACAAAGTGAGAAAAAAAGAATATTGAAAAACACATGAAAGAGTATAAAGTAGCCAGCACCTAGGAAAGAAGCTAACATATATGCATATGGGGAAATCTATACATTTGAGCTTACAGAGAGATGTAAACACTCAGGAGAGAAACGTGCTCTTCCTCAGACCTTACTTTGTGTTCCTCCACAGAACTGACTAGTAACAGTAATTCACCGCCCGACGGGTTTCAGCAAAGAGGTCACACACAGGGAGGGCCTCTAGCTGCCACTTCCAATTGCTTCCCCGGTGAAACGACACAGGAGGTTAAGTTACTTCAGGAGACTCTCAACAGGGCTCCCATTGTTCCGAGCCCAAACCCAGAGACACAATGGGCCCCATTCATCAGGAGAGCTCACAGGCTGGGGAATGGTCCCTTCGTGGCAACTCTGTCAGGACGCTGAAGTTTTTATAAACATAGACTTGCACAAATACGTGTTAATTGTTGTTAAAGAACAGCACAGAATAAAAAAATAAAATTCAATGGACACTAAACTGAGAATTTGAACACCCACATCCTATCCCCAACTCCGATGTGATTTTAAGCAAGTCACTTGCTCTTTCTGAGCCTCAGTTTCCTGGTTTGTAAAGTGACGATAATTTCTAAGATCACTTAGGATTCTAAAATTCCATGAACACACACGAGATCTGTTAATGTTGCTATACTCTTCACTCCAACCAAAGGGGATAAATATTTATGAGCAGAAAAGAATCACTGGTTTGCATCTTTCAATTTGCTATCAGCACCTAAAACCAAGGAGCCTTAATAAAAACAGTCCAAGAAACTATTTCCTATCCTCTCTCTTAAACAGACAGATCATGCTGAGTAAGGTCTAGTGATCCCGCCACCCCACCAAGTCCAGGATCACCAAGGAGATAGCCCTTCACAAAGCACAATGGCAAAGGGCATAAATAGAAGCCACAAGTATGCTTCCCTGTCCCCTTTTCTTAGGTTACTAATGAACTTCAAGAATCTCTTGATTTCTTTGCAATGACTCAAAATCCCCCGAAGAAAAATGCCATTCACAACAAGAATGTGATCACTGTCCCAAGCTTCCACACCACGTCATTTTTTTGTTTTTTCAACCTCAAAACTTGCCAAAGCAAGAACTTTGTCTCCAGAGCCTAAGGAAAAAGACACATAAATGAAAAGATCATTTCAAATGCATTCACAGTTCTAGGTAAAGAAGCAAAAACCTAACACACATGTTGAAACAGACACTGAAACTGGCTCTATTGGGGGTGCATTGCCCGAGCTCTCCTGTGGCTGTCCCAATCTCCTCCCCCCGCGTCACGACTCAGCTGCAGAGGGCCGTTGACTGGTTACAAATGCTTACTCTAGCTTCAGGTATGTGACAGATTGTGTAAAAATTTAGTTTATTTTTATATTTACGCTTAGGTGACAGATATTTTAGAAACATCAGGTCATATTAACTTAATTTTTAATAATTAAGTATTGATAAATAAACTCAATAAAAGGGATTTATAAAGAACAGAGCTCTGGTTTTACCTCTAAACTCAAGAAAAGGCCCTCATGTTATCTCACCCATGCTATCTGTCCATCGGACAGTCGTTCATGTCCAAGTTTCAGAAACAGAAGGGTACTCACCGAGGTCTGTAGAGACTCTCTCAAACTGGCTGAGTATGGCACCAGCATTTGCTGACAAGAAGGCCTCATCATCTGCAGTCAGCTGAACAGAACAAAACAGAGTCCAGTAGAGTGAGTTCCAATCTTCATGAGCGGTTCTAGGAACTGCTCTAGGAACTAAATCACAGATCAAGAAGTTCTGCCCCAAATATTTACACTTTTTCCCTTTTCTTTCTTTGAAAAAATATTTTATTTATTTTTAAAGAGATGGGAAGGGAGAGAGAAAAGAGAGGGAAAGAAACATCAATGTGCGAGAGAAACATCAATTGGTTGCCTCTCACACACCCCCAACTGGGGACCTGGACCACAACCCAGGCATGTGCCCTGACTGGGAATCAAACCAGTGACCTTTTGGTTCTCAGGCTGGCACTCAATCCACTGAGCCACACCACCCAGGCCTACACTTCTTCTTTATGCCTAATACTATACAAAATTAAATGAAATGTGGGTACCTTCTCTCCAAGTTTCCTGAGAGCTGTTAGTATCTCCACTTTCTGTTGAGTGTACAGGTCTCTTTCCAGCTTTCCTACCATGAGATCTCTATCCATCTAAAGTGGATGAACACAAGCATGTGGTATTTTAGTAAAAAACTTTCCACACATAAAATCCAGCTTTTCAGATCTGCTTCTTTAAAAGAAAAAGATCTTCTAGCTGATTAATATTGTAAGGAACTACAGAAACAATTCAAGGCAAACATGATAGATGTGCTATTGCACAGTTCTAATAAATCTTAATCATAACCACTGTCTTAGTTATCAACTCTACTGAGTAGAGTGCAGGAATCAGGAATCAGGAATCGGCCGGTAGCTTCCTTAAGAGTGGAGTCACCCTCTAAGAACTCATTCCATCAAACTCGAGTGCGGTCACCTGGCTTGAATAGGGTAACTGGAGTTGGAGCTCCTGGAACCGGGGTTAGATATTACCTTTACCAGCAGAAGCACTGATAGTATATACTGCGCACTGATCCTATTCTGTGTGCTTTACATACATTACATATGACACATAACAAGTGCTCTACACCGACTACTTCATTTAATCCTCATAACCACCTTATAAGAAGTAGAAACAATCATTATCACCTTTTTATAGGTGGGGAAATTGGGGCACAAGGGTTCGATCGTGCTTACCAGTTGCACTCCACGATCACACGTCTCCACACTGAGCAGGAAGACAAATCCAGCCAGTTTGACCTGAGTCCATGCTCTTAACCACTATCCTGCTGACTTACCAGTGGTTGCAAGTAACCATTAACGTCAAGTCTACAGCAGACTTCTTCAAGTGTCAGGTTTCCAAAGACACTTGAAAGTCAGGCGAGAAAGGCCAAACAAGCATAAAGCAATGCTGCTAATGAGTTCTGGATGGGATTTCAACTCGGGGCTTCAGAAGTAATAAAACCTCACAGGTGGAGTTCGGTGGAAGTGGTTTCTAGCAATGTAAACTACCATTTGCTGTTTAACCCTCTATATTCATTATCAACAATGATTGCTCAAAGAACTAATTTTGACTCACTTTTAAAAAACAGATTATTTTTTGGAGCAGTTTTAGGTTCACAGGAAACTGAGTGAAAGGTACCGATATTCCCCACGCACAGCTTGCCCCCACTCAGGCACAGCCCCTTGGTCACGGCCTTCCCCCCACAGCGTGGCACGCCTGATGCGGTTGGTGAGCCTATTCTGACCTCCCGACCACCGAGAGTCCGCAGCTGACATGAGGGTTTCCTCGTGGAGGTGTTTGTTCTCAACTGACCAATTTTTAAACTCCAGAATTAGATGATGAGCAAATTTGTGGGCTAGGAAAAAATATATACAGAGCAACTGGATTAATTTAAACAAAATTAAATTTTACCTCTGCCAACCTCGTCCGAAGCTGACCTGGTTGTTTTTTCGCAAACAGTCTGATGACCTCGGGAGTTCTGAAGGCCTGGCCGATGGCTGCCTGGATAGCCTGGGCACACGAGAAGGCGAGAACCCACCAAAACGTTCGCGTGGACTGGGTATCGCGATGACCCGCCGACGGGTCTGTTTGTCTGTCAAATACTGTTGCAATTTTAGTTTCATTTACTAAAACTGCAAATGAAACTAGTTTGCTTGTCACCAGAGTCAAACACATAACTAGATAAAGATCTGGAAGCATATGCTATTTTATCCACAAATAGACAATCATCTAGAAGTTAAACCCCCCAAAAGGTACATTTTCTATCTTACAAGCATTCACCAATAATAAAAATAATAATAATAATAATAATAATAATCTAATTGTGTCACCAGTGTAAGTAAATTGTGCTTACCAGTTGCATTCCACTTAGTTCATCTACCAAAGTCATATCTCCAGACATAATTTTCTTCAGTGAATCATTAAATTCACTTAGTTGCTCCAGAGTTTCCTTTTTGGTTTCTTCATATTCATCTGTATCAAGTTCCTCTCTGAAGCGCAGTGAACATGACACAGGAAATACAGGGTTCCAAATGAAAACAGCAAGGTTAGTAGATGTACACTACTGCAAACGTTACATTTACTTACAAAAAATATCTTGGGGGAAAAAGGCTTCAAGGAAATATCAAAATACTAGTGATAGATATATTCAGATATTAAAAATGTAGGCATTCTTCTGCAATATGATTACTTTGGTAATTAAACATTTTTCTTTTATCAAAATGAAGCATCGTTAAACCACATAGTAACTTCCTTTTAAGCTGTCTATAAACCAATGGTATACTCTTAGGCAAGATACTAAGTGTGGCCAAGCCTTAGTTTCTTTACCTAAAAACTGAAGATAATGATAGTAACCTCCTTACAGGGTTGCTAGGAACATTAAACGAAATATGGAAAGTGGCTGGCATATGATGGGTACTAAATAGCTGTTATTATCATTATAGTTAAAAGTAGGTAAAATTTTGTTCACCTTGAAATACAACAGCAGTGTAGTTCTTGCCGTCTGAGTCAGAGGCTATTTTTATTCACCAAAGCATGTATTAAACATTTACTACAAATAACAACAGCTACCATTTATCGAGCACCTGCTCTGGGCCAAGTGTTTTGTTGGCACCTTCACTTGTAATATTTGCTAAGGCTGAACAGTCTGTGCCCTTTAAATTAAGGCTGAAAACACACCAGATGTTCAAGTTGTACCTTCTCACCTTGATACCAAGCAGGACAATTTTTAAATACTGAAGACAAGATAGGTGGTACAATTTCCACTTTACATACTAGGAAATGGAAACTTAAGGGGTTCAAGTGTTTTGTCCAAGTTCACACTCACTTTGCAATTAAATGGAAGACCTTCACATCCCAGCCTGACAACCCCAAGGCCTGCACTGAGTTTACTTCCCCAACAGACAAAGCACCGTGAAGAGCACTTCAGGGCAGACCAACACCACAGCTGGGTCTGAACACCAGGGGTTGGTCCTCTAGCCGCAGGAGAGTCATTTAACAGCACAGTGGCACACAGCGGCACATTAGACCGTTACCTGCACTCCTCCAGATCTTGTAACTGCTGCATCAGTCTGTCCAACTGTTCTTCTAAATTCTGCTTTAATTTGCTTGTCTCTGTCTTTCCTCTGGAAGCCATTTTAATCTCTGAGTAGAACAATAAGCCTGCATAGAGTCAATATTTGGTTATTTGAAATGATTCAACATACCAGGCAAATTTAACATAGGCTACACTCTTTCTGAGCTACAGGTGTGGGAAAGACAGCTGTGCAAAGAAAATCTCAATTTATATATAAAAGTTTAAACTCATGTAGTTATAACTCCCCACAAAACTGCCTGGCAGTCTTCTTAATTGACTTGATGAATTAATTAAAGGTGTTCACTAGTGGTTTATCTTACTTTAAACAAATTTGATCGATGAAAGTACAGATTTATAAAGAAACAGATCAGTGTGAATACAAGTTCATTATAATATTCTTTTTCATTCTTAGTATGTTGTAGAACTTAGAACATTCCTAGTATTATCTTGCTGGTCTTAGGTGCGTTTACTAATACCTTCTGAGTATGAACAACTTTTGATATGAATTTCTTCTTTGGAAATGTGCTCAAGTTTCTACTGAATTATATTTCCCTCACTGATTTATATAACATGGATATGAAGACTTGGTAATTATGTTGCAAATATTATCTCGTCTCCTGACTTTAAATTCTACTTGGGGTGTTTTTGTCACAATAAATTACTTTTAATAGTCAAATCTATCTTCTCGTTAAGTCTTCTGGGTCTGTGCCCCATGAAAGCATGCCACAACCACCTCAAGGTTTAAACATATATATTTTGTATTCGAAAACTCCTATATTTTTCGAACATTTAGCTCTTTAAGCCACTTTTTTGGGATAATGCTGTGAAGTAAGAGTCTGTTATTTACTTCCAAGTGGACAGTCAACTGTCCAGCACTGTTTGCTCACCAGGGTCCATTTACGCCACCTTTAGTGTCCTCAGCAGTAAGACTCAAGTCTGTTTCATAGATAATGTTCTGACCCCAAGGTATTACCTTGCTATTTGAATTATTTTGCTTCAGAGCTGTTATGTATTGATAACTGTTAAGAAGTTACTTTTATTGCTGTGCATTTCCCCCCAATAATCCTTGACTATTTGTGTGCATTTTCTCTTCTAGCTGAATTTAAGAATCGATTTGTCAAGTTTCCTTAAAAATTCAATTGAAATTTTGACAGGGATTACATTAAAATTAAAGAAAATAGAGAAAACCTGTATCCTTGAAATTTGAATCTTCCTATCAAACAATCTCTCTCCATTTATCTAGGCGTTCTTTTATGCTTTTTAAAAAGAAAACATTATTTGTTCACAAAGCCCTTAAACACTGGCTATTCTTAGATTTTGTATAGTTTGTTAATACTGGGAATAGGGTTTTTGTTATTACAATTTCTGATTATTGCTGGTGTAGAGAAAAGCTACTAATTTTGGTGTTGATATTATATGTATTTACCTTAACATTTAAGTTTTTCTATTTATAAAAAATAAACTTACATTCCTTTCAGGAAACACATTTTCGTTACTGTTAGGTATAACCATTCATCAAAACCTTTAAAATTGCCCTGACCAGCGTTGCTCAGTTGGTTGGGCGCATCACCTCGCAAAGTGAAAGGTCACGGGTTTGATTCCCAGTTAGAGCACATGCCTAGGTTGTAGGCCAGGTTTAAATAATCTACAATCATTAATAACATATAAATACATTGTGAATGAGTACAGCCATAAGTGTTCATTTATTACAGCTATTCTCCCTGTATAATTTCTCCCAGAAATACACATTTAAATTTTATTTTAAATCTGTTGAGTTCTCCAGTAAAATTCAAGGCAAACCCAAGGTAAAACTGAAAGTGTCTTTTCAGGATTAATTTCCCGTAGTTCACCCACACTGGTCTCCTTATTTCAGAACGTGCCATGACCTTTGATCCTTCTCTTGGGAGCCGTCCTTCTTTTCCACCTACAAATCTCTTTCATTCTCCAGGGTCTAGCTCAAGTTTCACTTTCTCCATAATGTCTGCCTTAGCCTCACTGTCCAATCCCTAGATTGTGAGTTATATGAGAGCAAGGATTTTGCTTTCTCTTTATACACCAGCATTTACCACAACGTTGGGCAGAGATAAAGTACTTGGTAAATAACTGGTAAATTAATAATAATAAGGGACTGCTTCTTCCGCTGTGTTCCAGATTTTATTCTCTACTTATCACTTATTTCTTCCTTGAATTATGAGTTCATTATAGCACTCCCCCGCGCCGCCCCCCCCCGCCACTCCCCGTCTTCCTCTCCAGACTGTAAACACTCTGAAAGCAGAAAATGAGTCTGATTCTGCTTAATCTCCATATTCGAAGCCGGACGATGTGTATGAAGACACAACACATTTCAAGGAGGTAAAGCTACTCTAAATAAATTTCAGGGAAGATGGAGGCACTTAAAAAGCCTTCACCTGGCGCTGCACTGCGATTTATCTCAAAAGATGAGCTCGCTGGCACCACCTAGTAGTCAATAAAGGCGGTGCATCTTTTTACGGAAATTGCAGAAACGGTTCTCGAAAACTGCAACCTGGAGTAGAAACAACTCATTCATGCTCACCTGTCTCTTATTGATTTGAACGCTGCACTGAGCTGACAGGTCTCAAACTGCATAAACCTCTAATTCTTGAAGTTCCAGTGTCGTGCGCTCAAGAAAAGCAAAACTGTTCATCAGGACCACAAGGGACCGAAAATTCAAATCACCTTGGTGTGGAGCTGGATGAGAAAAGAAAAACCATTCACAAGTTTTTCTTTACTATGTATAAGCTTGACCTAAAGCTGTCCAGATTACTTCCACTCAAGCAGCCAGCAATTGAGACACACCCCTCTTTCTAGGAAGGCACCACGGGGGCGAAGAGTGGGGATGGAAGGGGCAACCTTTCTGAGATTTTTCCCAGCGAGGGCGAGGGTGTTAATGAAGAAAACCCCGCACCCGGACACGCCTCGGAGGGAAGCTGTCAAATCCAGACCAGCACAGAGAAGGTAAGAGCGGAGAGCACGCCTTCACCCGCTTCAATTCTGGCAGCGTTCGGACTTCAACCAAATAGAACTGAGGTCCGGCCGCGGTCCCAAATCCTACCTCCACCCGGCAACTTGAAGCTCCGGCACTCGGGTCGCGTGGTGGCCGGGCTCCACTAGGCCCCGGTTACCACCAGAGGTCGCCGTGGACCCGCCGCCCCCGAAACTTCTCCGGCCCTCTCCAGCGAGAACCAGAGCAACCTCCTCGGGATTCGGGGTTCCCTCGCAACCCCAGCCCGCTAATCTCCAGAGTTCCCAGGCAGGGGCCCCGCCTACCTGAGGGTCCCGGGCAGGCGGACGCGCTCAGAAGCAGCGCTTCCGTCGGACGCACGCACTTCCGGCCTCCTGGAGCCAATGGGGGTGTGGCTGCGGGTGTTCCCCTCGCCGGTGTCCGGGCTGCGGATCGCCTCTCGGACGACTCGGGCCGATTTGCGCTGAGGACGAGGTAAGCCCGACCCTCAGCCCCTGAGAAACCGCCGTCTAGGAGAGTCAGCCCAGATTTCCTTTTTGTCGCGAGCGCGGGGAACTCCAAGAGAGCGGGGTCTTGGAGGGTCAAATACAACGGTTGCCGAGCAAGATCATATTCAAGTTCGGGGCGAGGAGTCTTGCTTGTCCCTTCATTTTTTGCATCTTCGTGCAACTCAAAACCTCGTAAATTTGCCTGTGGCCTTCTGAACTGGTGGATTCATCCTGAAAGTAATTAATAGTAGTAGTAGTAATAATAATAATAATAATAATAATAATAATAAATTAAAGTTTCTCTAAAAGAGGCTTCTTGGTAGGGGGAGGTGGAGCGGGAAGTCCTCCACACTTAACTTCTCTTTTCTCCGAAATCTCCAAATCTGTGAAAAACCAGACCCGCCTTCCAAGAAGCGGCTTGACGCTCCCGCCCCTTGAGAACGAGACTGCTAGCTGTTGCGCAACACTTTAAAAATTACTCAGAAATTAGATGGAAACCGTTTTTCTAGTGTTCGCAGCCATCTCCATGGAGAGTCAGTAGGGTTTCCTGCAAAAATTGTTTGCGGTGTTGGCTTTAAAAGTGATTCTTTTTCCAGTGCCCAGAACAAACTTCCTGCTGAAATTACCATAGAACTGTACCAGGATGAATCCCTTCCGTCACTTCTGTGGGATGGTAGAACTCCTTGCATATTACCATAAATTGTTTTCAGAGTTACAATTTAAATGTGAAACCCCTGTTCTAGGATAACTGAGAAAAGACTGTTGATGAGGATGTAACCTACAGCGTAGGGAATAGAGTCAATAATATCGTAATAACCATGTGTGGTGCCAGGTGGTCACTGGACTTATTGGGGGGAATCACATCATAAGTTATTTAAATGTCTAAGCACTGTGCTTTACACCTGAAACATATAATACTAAATGTCAACTGTAATTGGGGAAATGTGGATTTAGGAAAACAAAAGTGTTGATCCACAGGTTGGAGCAGTTTAATAGCCTATCTTGCAAAATGCTTCAGATTCACAGGGATAGCCTTTGTAAAAGTAAGGGACGGTTATGTTGCTGTAATTACCTCTAATTTCTGGTGAATATCTGTGGAAGTGTCCATGTTTTGAGCGATATCAAACTTTGCATGACAAACAGGGGCAGTGCCAAACAAAACAACACTGAAAAATCCATTTTCTTCTCCCATCGTTTGAAGAACTTACTGAGTAAACATTTGCTCACGCTGTACTTCCCCTAGTTTTGGTGGTGGTAATGTGAGGTTCTAGCCAGGGTTTTGGTGTGCACCACTGGGAAGCCTTGGCGGAAACTCCTCCCTTCCTTGTGTTGGATTTGCCTGCTGTGCTTTCTCAGTCACTTAATCTGATCCAGTAGTTCTGTGCTGGGAGTGTTCTTCAACCTTTGGACTCTTGTTTAGAGTTCACAGACAATAAAAACGTATTCCTAGTGCATAAGTAAGGGAAATTGGTTTGGATTCCTGTTCACAAACAAAAATGACATCCAAGCCCTGGGGGTGGGGGAGAAGAAATCAAAAAAAGAAGGAACAATATATTAGGTAGGCAGTCTAATTAGGGAGAGAGCATGGGGGTAAATGACTTCAGAACTGGGGGGGTCATAACTGGGAAACGAGATACGGGTGTACCTCAGAGATACTGCATTCCGGTTGCAGACCCTTGTGATGAAGTATCACAATAAAGGGAGTCGTATTCTTCTTCCTGGTGGAGGGACTGGCCTTCAATGAAAAAACAACATGCAACACCTGTGAAGCACAGCGAGCTGAGGTATGCCTATAAACAGTACTAGACAGGTGGAGGAGTTTAGAACACTTCACCTTGGGCTTGGGATGGGAGCCTAGAGATTGCAAGTTACTCCAACTAGGTAGGGACATGCTGGGGCAGATGACACTTGAGTGGCTAACAAGAAGTACCCTGAGCCAAAGGCTGTCTGAACACGTGGGCCTCAGTTTGTAGCGTTGCGACTGTTGCATAACAGTTAAGAGCGTGAACTTTATATCAGAGTCAAGGTTATTGAACAGCTGTGAGATCTGGAGCAAGTTAATCAACCTCTTTCAGCGTCAGTTTCCTCTGGCCTCTGTTAAAAGGGATGACAGTAGTTCTGTGGATGAGAAAGGGACCCCGTACTGAACCTGACAAGCCGGCAAGGGCGTGGGGCAGGGGTGCAGCATAGCAGGCCCTACAACCTCCGAGACTGAAAGTAACATCAGGCAGTCTGAACATAAAACTCCTAACTAAAAGCAGATCCTAGTCGTCAGTCACATCCTTGACAAAGGTCAGTCTTACCTTAAGTGAGCCCATCTACTGTCTTTGTTGCATCTAAGATAACACACGTCTGAAATGTCAGAGTCATCTTCTTTCCCAGACCCAAGACCATAGAACCCCTCATTGTTTTCTTGTTCCCCAAATACCATCTCTCTGTGCTGTAAATGTTCATTGGTAACTGTCCTGTACCCACTAATGTAACAGAAGTATGTGTCTCTCTGTTTTACTCTTTATTCAATTTCAGAAATTTCTCTGCTTTGCTTTTCCCTGCCTTCCTGATCTACTACCAATGAATTTCATGTAACCACGCCCCCTCGTGTCTACTGCTTGGATTCTAATGTACAAAATAAGCTGTAAAACTGCCGTCCTCCAGAGCATTTTTCAGTTCGTTGAGATTTTGCTTCTTGGCAGTTGTTCTCAGGTTGGCTTAAATAAACTCATAAAAGTTCTCTGCAGTTTGGGTGTTTTTTATATTGACTGTACCTACTTTGTTGGAGTCTTCCAAGGATTACACCAATGTTTAGCACACCGCTTGGCACACAGGAAGAGCTCAATGAATGTTACCACCACCATCACCATCATCATCATCGTCATAGTTAGATAAGTGTGATTGTATGTATATGTATTTATAAGGAATAGGCCCATCCAAGGGGAATGAGCGAATGTATTGCCACTCAGGGAGAAGCCCATGAGATAAAATGAGGATTCTCCAAGCAGCAACCCTGCAGCTTTCTGCCCCTCTGCTTTCGATTTTCCAGCCCCAGGCAACTGCTGACCTGCCCTCTGTCACTGTAGATTAAATTTTCTGTTCTAGAATTCATACAACTGGAATCATACAGTGTGTACTTTTTTGTATCTTGCTCCTTTCACTAAAAAAACAACAACAACACATTCTTCCATGTTATTTGTATCAGTAGTTTGTTCCTTTTTATAGCTGGATAGTATTTCATTATATGGCTATACCAACTTTGCTTACTTGTTCATTCATTCATTCATCTCCTGATTACCATTTGACTTGTTTCCAATTTTTGGCTATTATGTCAGGCCAAACCATGCAATTCCTTGTGTGGGTATATGTTTCATTTTCTCCATTATTGTTATGCTATCCTCTGAATTTGTATCGAGAATCCTCCTCTATGGCTTCCTTAAGGACCTTCCTCCATCTTTACTTTCTTGCAGCTTCTGTTGCTCCCTAATAGTGCTTTCTCTTCAACCTACCAACCATTCTATTCTTCAAAAAAAAAATCAAATCAAACAAAACTTCCCTTAACCATGATACCTCATTGAAGAGCGTGTTCAGTATCTCTGGGTGCTACCGCCAGGTTCTTGTCTCTCCATTCCTGTCTGCTTACTAGTTGTCTCTGCTTGATGTCCCATGCCCACTTCCAAACTCAACACCTGTAAAACGGTCGCCTGCTTCTTCATGCCTGCCTTCCACATCCCCAGCCTGCACCTCCCCCGGTACGCTGTCTGTTGCCCAGTAGCACAGATCTACCCAGTCACCTGAGTCAGAAATGTGCCCCCTCACCCTCTCCTCCTCCATTCAGTCACCTGATCCTCTTGTAAGCTCTTGGACTATCCCTCCTCTTACTACCCTTCATTGTCTCTTACCCGGACTGGTGGAGCGCTCCAAAGCAGTGCTCTGCAAACTTTAAGATGCACACAGATCACCTAGGGATCTTGATAAGATGCAGATCTTGACTCAGTAGGTCAAGGGTAGGACCTGAGATTCTGCATTCCTAACTAGTTCCCAGGTGATACCCATACTGCTGGTCCATTCAATCTTCACTTTCCCTTTCTTGATAACGTCATTTAGTCTTGTGACTTTAAATACCGTCTATATCAGATGACCTCAGCTCTCTAGTAAATCTCTAGTCTGGACCTCTTCCCTGAACTTGACTCTGTTCTCCATTTGTCCACTTAACCATCACCATTAGGATACTTAATAGATATCCCAGATCTGACTTCTTTATAAAAAGAAGTGCTGATCTTCCCTAAACTACTCTATGGCCACTTCGTCTTCTCAAAAATAACTGTTCTTTTAGTTGCTTAAGCCAGAAAAATTTGGAGTCATCGTTATGCCTGGTTCTCTCACAGCTTGTGTTCCATATATCAGCAAAGCACGTGGGCTCTACCATTATAATGTATCTGGAGTCTAACGATTTCTCACCACTTCTGCCGCTACGGCCCTGGTCCAAGTCAGCGTCAACCCTGCCCTGGATGATTGGAGTAGCTTCCTGTCTGGTCTCCTGGTCTCGCCCTTAATTCCCTCTGTATTCTGTTCTCTGAGAAATCTTTGAAGATACGTCAGGTCCTGCCACTTGTCTGCTCAAAACCCCACCCTGGCTCCCCATTGCCTCTCTGACTGCATCTGCTGCTGCCCCTCCCTCTGTTACCGCTGCCTTGGCCACGCTGAGCTCTCTCTCCCGGGACTCGCCAGTCGTGCTTGTCTCAGGGGTTTTGCATGGTTACCTTTCCTCCAGACATCTGCGTGGCTCGCTCCCTTGCTTCCTTTAATTCTGTGCTCGAATGTCAGGCCGTTCTTCACCCCCCTGTCTAGAATTCCAGCAGTCCTAATCTTGCCCTACTTTGTTTTCCCAATAGCCTCATTATTTATTTATATATCTGTGCGTGTGTATACACACACATGCATAATTGTTTGTCTCCTAACACTGGAATGTAAGCTTCACATGAATAGAGAATTTTGACAGCTTTGCTCACTGCTTTATTCCTAAGTGTCCAGCATAGTCATTACTCAAGAAATACCTGCTGAATCATGATGAATAAGTAAGAATTATTTCTCAAGTGCACTGATTTTAATCCCGGTTGAAACCCTCTAAAACATCTCCATTCATTATTGAATAAAATCCAAACTCATATTGCATCTGAGGCTGGGGACACCCTAAAAACTATCTTCCAGTCATTTCATGTTAACTTAAAAAAATTCTAATAAAGTAGGAGAAGAAAAAATGTAGAACTTTTTTACCTTTCCCCAATGAAATGTTTTGACTATGACATGTATCTAAATAGAAACTCCAATTTTTATATATGTTTTTAATTTAAGTAGAAAATATGTTTTGAACACTAATGGTATATTGTATACAGCCAAGCTTTCAGGTTAAGATAAACATTTAGAAATTCAATATTCAATTCAATAGTAATTAGAAATTTTTTACTTGTAGGGTTTAAACAACTATAAAAAAAGTACTGTTGAAGATTAAATTTCAGTTTTTAAAAATTTTAAATAGAAGGCAGTGGATATCAATCATCAGGTATTGTTTTTCTTATAGTAAATTTAATGAGTTTAACCCTGGAGGATTTTTTTTTTGTTAAAGATTTTATTTATTTATTCAGTTAGTTCATTTTAGAGAGAGGGGGAAGGAGGGAGAAATAGAGGGAAAGAAACAATGATGTGTGAGAGCAATATCAATTGGTTGACTCCTGAACACGGCCTGACCGGGGATCAAACCTGCAACCTAGGTATGTGCCCTGACTGGGAACTGAACCCACAGCCTTTTGGTGCGTGGGATGATGCTCCAACCAACTGAGACACCTGGTGAGGTCTAAAATTTCCTACTGTGTTTTTAAAGAAGCAATAAATTGACCTTATTCAAACACACAATGTGAATCACCGTTGTTTTGAAACTAAACCTTTGTTATTAAGATTTATATTTTCCTTGTTCCTTTTAAGTAGTTATTTCTATGGCACCCATCCAGCTGATGCTACTAACATCATTGTAACAGAAAAGGAGGTTCAGAAGGCCAAACTAATAATCTTGAAAGAAAGTGATAGGAGCTCCTTATATGGGGTGAATTTGGGTGTGATTCAGTCCTGTGATTTTGGTTGAGCTCTTCCTTTTTTATCCCTTGTCAGTGCTTGTTAACACTTAAAGACAGCGCTCTTCCAAACCACTGGTTTGACGTGCTTCCTGCTGTCGCAGCTCTGGCATCAGCTGAGCGTTTCATCTCTCGTCCCAGAGTAGCAGGGTAGGAGGTGGTCGTGTGCTTGCTGGCAGCGGTCAGGAGCGCAGCTGCTGGGACAGGCTCAGCCTGCTGGAGACGTGCACCCGAGGCAGGAGACCAGCGGGGCTCGGCGCCGGCTTCAGACTGTTGGTTTAGCGTCTGGCCTTGCACAGGTCACACTGGCCAGCCAGAGCAGCCCCTGGCTGGAGAAAAGCACTGCAGGGTGGACAGTGGGATCGCATTCAGTGGGGTGGACTAAGGTGAGAAGGCTGGCTTTTTACGTCCCTCTCCCACCCTCTCTGCTCTTCTCCTGCCGTTGGGACTCCTTCGCTTCTTGGACTGCCCCTTGCCATGTGACCATCCTAGTCCAACAGTTCCTTCCTGGGGCTGATGATAGCCTTTGACAAAGACAGGTTACCTGGGAAGATTTTTGCTTACCTGTAGAAACCAAGCTGCCCACTGATAGCAACACAGACAAGTAGTAAAGTTCGGGAGTCGTTTTTTCCTGCGTTTGGGAGGGGAAAAGCACTGTGAGGAAT